TGTAAATTAAGCTGTTCTGAAAGGCTTTAGTGTTTTGTTGTTGTTGTTCTTTAAAACTGAATATAACTGACTAGGCAGCATAATTGACACCAAAGTCAAGGATAAATATGTGATGACATTGGAAGTGGGATCAGTATATAAAACAATGCTTATTCTCAGATTATGTTGTGCAAAACTGCTAAAAGGAGTTAAAGAGTTGTGTTATGACCCAGATAATGCAAAATGGAAAAAGTAAGTTTGAATGGGATTTTATCACCTCTAAAATCATCATTTTATGGCAGTGGAGTTATTGATTTTTATTTGCAACGTTTTGCTGTTGTTTTACCATTTGCAGACGGTCCCTAACCACTCGCCTGGCCGCTGCCTGTTCGGAGAACGGCTTGTTTTTCTCGAAAATAACGCTTTTTGATTCTTGTAATACGTAGTCTGTGCTATCAGGAAATGAAAGAGGCGGCATTTGTGTTTCAACCACGAGAGTTATTGATCCCGGAAGTCCGAATCTGTGAATATCTTTCTAACTTTACCAAAGTAAGGTTTTGTGTTCTCACGCAAAAGGTTTTGCGTGGGAACGCAAAACTTTCGCAAAAGGTTTTGCAAAGTAACGCAAAAGGTTTTGCGAGGTAACGCAATACTTTTGCGAGGGAACGCAAAAGAAAAAAAAAATCCCCATGTCCCCCAGGGGGCTCCGTATAAACTGACAGCAACCGTTTTCTTTCTTTCTTTCTTTTTTTTTTTTTTTTACAAAATAATCAAACATCATCAGTACAAAATGTAATTTGTACTTAACTGGCAAACTAAACAAACAGAAATAGCTCAGTATATTAGTGTAATGTTGCTTACCTTAAAGGCAGTAAAACACGCAAGAAATACAGCAGTTCCTGTAAAAAACCAAGCAGGACGAACATGATAGAATTGTGGTACAGAAAGCTTCAGTGTTATGGCAAGCCATTTTAACATAAATTCGGTTTCGTCTGACCATCCATAATTACGTTCCAGATACCTTAAAATACATTTTGACTAGACAAAACCAAATTTTTACTATCCGGAATGGTAAATTTAAGATATCTCTATTTACATTCTGATAAGGAAGCATAATAATTCAATATATCTTAAATTACATTTTGACTTGTCAAAATTCCTTTCACGATATCTCAAATTATGTCAGCGGATTATTCATTTAAAGCTTCACATATCGGTAATTTACATGTAGGGGCGCTGAAAATAACAGTAAATGGACCTGATTTAACTTTTCCTCCTGTAAGGAAGAAAAAGTAAGGATTTTTTTTTAGGAATGATCCTCCTGGAAGCCCATTAAAAAGATCATGACATATTTTGACTAGTTTGAATGTCAATTTAAGATATCTTTAATGGAAAAGCTGAAAAATTCAGGATATCTTTAACTCATTTAGAGATATCTTGAAAATGAATTTCAATTAGTCCAAATTACAATTCAAGATATCTTTAAATTTGTTTTGTCTTGTCATTATTTGCTTTTAAGATATCTATCATTTAGTTTTCACTAGTCAAAACTGCATATCTCCTATCCTAAAATACATTTAAGATATCATGAATTACGGTGGCATTTGAGATATCTTTAATTAGAATTATGACTAGTCAAAACTAAAATCGAGACATCTTGAAATTACTTTGGAACTAGTCGTAATTTAATCGTAGATATCTGAAATGTTTATTTCAAATTGTCAGTAATTCATTCTAAATATCTTAAATTGACGTCTCCATACACGTTAATGGGAAATCTGTTGTAATTTAGACTAGTCAAAATGTAATTAGAGATATCTCGAAAAGGTATTTTGACTAGTCAAAATATAACTAGAGATATCTTAAATCCCTAAAAAAGGTCTAGTCATAAAACAATTTGAGATATCTTGAATGTAAAGGCGTTGCAACCGAATTTATGGTAAAACGGCTTGCCATATTTTGAACAGCACCATCATTTGGAGCATTTATGCACTGCATTACACAATATATGAGATAATATTTCAGTATCAAACTGTTTTGTTTCCTTACCATATTTATTTCCCTGATCAGCTATATGTTATGTGTCAGAATCCATATGCGTCTCTATTTTAACACAGTCTAATCAAATAATTAGGACTCTGGAGAATTTGACTTCAACTGGGGAGGTAATTAAGCCATTTGGTTGAGTGTTCTTGGAGCAGGTAAGGTAGATTTCTAAAAGTTGCTGGATAACAGGCCTCTGGGACTTGATTGGACTGATCTGTATGCATGACGTCGATCGAGACTTGATATAATAAGGAAATCTGCCAGCAGACTGTTTAATCGATTTCAGAATCAATGACGCAACGCAATATTTCAGACAAAATACAGATAGTTTGCTTCATGCCATATGTTTTAAATTCTCTTTGTATCGTTATTTGACCTCTATATTTGTATCTGTGTAAATGGTTCAATTATTTTGGTGTTTAACTGATGAGTTACGACACGAAACATCCGCGAGCGCTGAGCTCGACTAATCGAGACTGTTTAAAGATGGCGCCCTAAAGCCCATGATTTGTTTTCTATGGGTACAAAGTATGTTTAAGTGCATTAACCGGACAGCCCACTTCACCAGATATCTCAAGTTAACAGGAAACAGTGTCCATATTAACCAAGGTTTTAGGTAAGTGTGGTTTTAAAATGATTTAGTCTCGGATGGAAAAAGTTACTCCTAATAACAAAAGAGGACAAGACGTTAGAGCTACCGGAATAAGGTTAGCTAGCTTAACCCGTCAATCCGGTTCAGCACTTTAGCGAACCTGTTAGCCGCTTTCTTGTAGCTTTTGGATTTAAGGAATTTGTATTACACGATTTAATAGGAGACTTCTTATCATTTATTCAACAATTCGTTTAAATCCGGCTTCCCGAGTTGCTGTTATTTTCATGTTTGCTAACTTTTCGGTAACAGCTGCAACTAACCGAGCTAGCTAATGCTAGCTTTCCTTTATGACTCAGATGGATTAAATGTTTCATAATTTACAACCATGCGAAGAACAAGTGTAGTCAAGTTAATTCGTTTTATTTGGTATGAAAATATAATTTAACATCTATTAAATAAATGCGGACATTTGAATCCGTTTAGATAAGTTTGAACATATAACTTGAGATCTGACAATAAGGATAACATACATTTGAAAATGTATAAATTACTTTTGTATATTTAAATAACAATGTTGAAAGTAGTGGGGAAAAACAAGTTACAATTATATATAATTTTTTTTATTATGGAAGTTACAGAAAAATAATTTAATATTTTACATTTTCAGTGTTTAATGATTAAAATAAAGGTGTATATCAGCCAACTTAAAAATTTAAGCAAACACCTTTTGATAAATAAAACTATTTTTTAGCATTTAATCCTTTATAGGACACTCAGTGAATTACTTTGAAAATCTAAATTTCAAGCCAATAGTTTGATTGAAATCAAACATTATTACCTTTTTAACATTCCAAAAATATGGTTTCTTTGATGTCAAAAATGTATGTCAATGTAATAACATGAAACACCAACTTTTCCGAATATATTAAGAAAAAAAAACAAAGTTCTTCTAAAAGAATTTCATAAAAAGTAAAAGAAACACATTTTTTTTTTTGGTACAACATAACCTTAGAGGAATTAATGCTGATACTGGTACCTACATTTTTTAGTTTATAAACCTAAATATAATTGTTAATTAGGCTTATAAACTTTTGACCTTTAAATTTTAACCGTTTAATGAGCTTTTTACCTTTTTCTTGACTTATTAACTTTTTTCAACTTAATTTACAGGAGATAATATATCATTCAAGTGTTCATCTAATTGGTCAAATGCCAAAATAAGATGTACAGCAATGTATCAGTATCTTTGCTGAATGGCTGGATATAGATCTTGTGCTTCTAGACCTCACTGAGGGACAAGAGGGGGGGCTCCATTTGTAAGGGGTATGCAAGTGATCAAAAATGCTAACTTGCCCTATAAAGGGTTAAAATAAATGCGTGTTAGAATTATGTTGTTCTAATCCTTAATATATTCCACCAACATATAAAGTTCATAACAATTTAGCCATCGCACCATGTTTTTATTATTAATATCTACGATAAATTTCCAGTCAGCATCCCTACTTTGAAATACAAAAAAAAAGATTCAGAGGAAATGAATCACTCCTTAAATTGAAATGAAAGAGTTGTTATCCCAAATTGAGTATTAAAAAATAAATAAATAATTCAAAAGTTTCATAGATTTTCTTAAAAGTTTATAATAAAATAATTCCTAAAGTGTTCTGCTATTCTTTATCAGAAAATGTATCAGTGGACTTGTGATTTATTCAGCATATCTGGTCAAGGTTATGCAATAGAAACTGAAATAATTTACAGGGTGAAATTAGTAATCCAAAACAGAGCATTCATCAAAAAAACAAAACAAATAGATCTTCCTCCTAAAAGATAAAGAGCCTTCATTACCAGTTTTAAAAGTACAGTTATTTTGTTTAACACATATTTTATTATAAAGATGGATAGATCTTCAGTAATCTTGTTTAATGTTTGTTTTAAGCTTCAATTTTCAAATAACCCGTGTGTGTTTTAGTCTATTAATATATTTTTAGCTACATAAACTTTGAAATATATGTTTTTGCTCATATATTACATCTAAACCTCTATGGTTGGTAAAACCTGATATTTTCATATTATTTTCCCATGAAAATAATCCCAATTTATTCCAATTTATGACAAATTCTCAAGATATATATTTTTTTTACCCTTATACCATTATTTTGCCAGGCTATAGAAACACCAGTTTTTGGTTTACCTGAAAATATTAACCAACAAACTATTGGGTTTATTTAAAAAAAAAAAAACAAACAAACAAAAAAACTCACACATTCTAAAAATGTTCATTTACAGAAATAAAAAGAAGAAAAAAAGCCCAAAGCATTAATGTGAGTTCTTGTAACTCTACTGGACTTTGTGAAACGCTGATCGTAATCTAATGACTGTTTGAGTTTCTTAATCAAAAGGTTATTCTCAGGACAGTCGTACTCAAGGGGTAATCTATTATGACGACCAGGATTTGCTATAACCAATGAAAAAAATGCTAAGATTGTTGATGATTGGCTTCCTTGCAGGCTGGTGTCATCCTTATCTCTCACAATGGCCGAACCAGTTGTGAGGAGGGTGATCACTGACATCATTCGCTCTCCTGAAGACAAAAGGGACTACAGGGGTCTGGAGTTCACCAATGGACTGAAGGCTATTCTCATAAGTGATCCAACGACAGACAAATCATCCGCTGCTTTGGATGTGCATATAGGTAAAGGGTGTGGCTTAGTTATTCTTACAGTTATTCACTAAGGAAGTTTACCAACCTTTGATGTCTGTCGTCACTTCTCTTTGTCACCTTTTCGTCATCGTTTTCCTATAAAGAGGAACATCTTTTTTTTTTTCTTATCTGAATGAATGGATTTAGTTGACCAATCTTGATGTTTCATGTTTTTATTTTTTGCTTTCCCAGGTTCACTGTCAGACCCAGAGAACATCTCAGGCCTGGCGCACTTCTGTGAGCACATGCTGTTTCTGGGGACCGAAAAGTACCCCAAGGAAAACGAATACAGCCAGTTCCTCAGCGAGCATGCCGGAAGCTCCAACGCCTTCACAAGCGGGGAGCACACAAACTATTACTTCGACGTGTCCCATGAGCACTTGCAAGGAGCTTTAGACAGGTATTTGTCAATAATGGCAAAACATGAGATTAGAAAAACTCTAGATATGTTTAAAATCCTGTAAAATTTTAAAGTATTGATTAATATTTTCCATGACTCCAAGCTGCATCAATTAACTTTGTTATTAAACGCTGAAAGCAGTACCAGAGGCAGATAGTGACCGAAGCTGTGAATGAATCTTGCTTGAAAGTAAATTTGGTCAGAGCGATCATAGACTTTGTGGCCGAAGTCTCCAAAAACGCGGATAAAATTTTATAGATTTGTCACATTCTTAAAAAAAACAAAATAAAAATGGAAGTCTGAAAAGTTGCCAATTATAGCGTAACAACAAAGTTAGCATCTGTGTCAGACAATCGTCATCTAGTTCCCTGAGAGCAGCGCAACCAAACTAGCCAGTTTCCCAGCCAAAGGCAGGAGCTGGCAGTGTTGGCTTTTCAAAATAAATTTTAACATTTCATGATAATTAAATACATTTTAGACTCTGAATATGGTTAGTATAAGTGTGCAGATATTGGCTGCATATATATATTTAAGTCTATATATATATATATATATGGTTATCTTGCATGCGTTATCTGCGGCGGTGCGTCGTGATTAATTAGATGGAGAGGACACCCTGCACTGGATCAATATCAATAGAAAATTCATCCTGTAGAATGCTCTGTAATCTCACTGATGCAGAACTGCAGGGCATTCTGGGACATGTAGGCAGCAGAAACGATATAGCCTCTTACAGTTAAGAAAAGCAAAGTCGATGGTAGGGAGGCTACGTTTTTGTAGAACTGGGCAATGTATAAAACATTTTTAAATTGTCAAGATTTTTCTGAAGAGGATAGGAGATGATACAATTTGTCTAGATGGTTTATGCTGCATTATGATATATATATTATTTTATATATATATATATATATATATATATCTATTTGTGTTTGTTTTCTGCTTTCTTTTAAAATGTGCTTGTATGAAATTTGGGACAAAGTTTTGACCTATAGTTGTCCTTGTGTGATGACATTGTGTGGGGGTAAAAATCATATATATCACCATACAGCTGAAAAATATGTTGGTCTATCTCTTAACATTTTTTTTTTGTTGTTGCAAATTTTCCTCCCGGTCTTTGTTGATGGTTTAAACAAAAATAAGCCGTTTATTATCTACTGATCTAAGAGGCTTATTATATCATGATACTTTTTCCAGCCATATTGCATTTAAACATAACATTAAAGCTGAGTCTGCATGTTTTTAAATTTTCTTATAAAATTAGAACCCTGACGATTTTTCTTCGCCTCTCAGGTTTCCTGACTGTTCTCTCTAATCAGCTCTGTTGTTTTACCCACCTGGTGAGACTTGAAACCTCAGACCCAGAGAGGGACTGACGTTCTGTGCCTTGCAGGAGGCTCGACTCAAATGCAAGCTGTGTTTGTTTGGAAAGGCCAGCCGTGTGGTCAGAACTTAACCTATAGGGATAAGCTTACCTAATTAGAAATGAATGACAGTCTAGAGAGCACCTGCTGGTGACGCATCCGCTCGCTGTCCTGATGGTAGATTATGAAGGCCATCTGGACTCTGCAGGTAGAAAAGGACACTAAAGATTGGGATTCATTATTTTTCTTTAAAAGTGGCACACTTATGCTACTGTTATGCCATTCTTATAATTCTGTTCTTTTTTTTTTACGGTGTGATCACTTCTTCATGTTATACTTATTTTTATATTTATTTGTTTTAATCTTACTGTTTGTCTTGTAACCAAAAGACACGTTAAATAGCATGTACACCCAAAATGATTCATCCCCTGGTTAATTGGGATATTTTTTCTTAATGTATTTTATTTTTGATAGTAAATAACTGATCAGAAAGTTTCCAAAAGATAACTTAACGTTGAACAAATACTAAAATCAGCTTAACAAAAAAATGTGTTTAATTTTTTCATAAAATATGGAATTTTGGAGGATTTTTATTAATAATAAATTAAAAAACGTTTAGCTTTACAATGGGAATACAATATATAGCAAGTTTCTAGAATTTTTTTTTGTTGACTTATCTTTGTTTAGCAAATATTAATTAGGTTAGATGGCGTCCTTTCCATCACTTATCTTAAGTTGATTAATAACAACCCAGTCAGAAAATAATAAAATGCAAAATTTAAAGTTGACTTAAAATCTATAGCTACAAAAAAGGTGATTATTATAACTTTTTTTTTTTTTGCACAATTGAGGCGCACTTTGGAACATCTCTGCATGAATTCAGAGGATCAACTTTCCCATTTCCTATTTCCTCATTTGCATGGCAGTTGCTCTGACCCTGTACTCATGGAAATGACCTCTCAACACTTTGTATATCCAGCTGCCTCTGCTGTGGAAGCCCATTGCTTTGTTTACAAACTCTTTGCATTGTAGCTAATGGAAAGCTGTATCTGTTGGTGCTGCACATCTGTTCAACTGCACGGTTTACTCATTATCGTCTCATCCTTTTTTTTGCCATCTTTGCAGGTTTGCCCAGTTCTTTCTCTGCCCTTTGTTTGACGAAAGCTGTAAGGACCGGGAAGTGAACGCTGTGGACTCTGAACATGAGAAGAACCTGATGAATGATTCTTGGAGGCTTTTCCAGTTGGAGAAGGCCACTGGCAACCCAAACCACCCCTTTAGTAAATTTGGGACAGGTAGAGAGGCTCATCAATTCCAACCTGAACTCTGTTAACAAAATCTCAGTAGATTACCCGATTCAGAGCCTGTGTTCATCTGATCTGTTGGTTTTCTTCAATAAATGTTTCCTTTCTACCTTCTGACACAAGCTGCAGGATAGTTTTTTTTTTCTTTATGTTAAAGTGATTTCTTCTTATTTTTTTGCAGGTAATAAATTAACACTTGAAACAAGACCATCTAAAGAAGGGATTGATATACGCCAGGAACTCCTGAAATTTCACTCTACCTATTACTCTGCTAATCTTATGGGGCTCTGCGTGTTAGGAAGAGGTAAGGATGAACCCTGAAGCTCCCACTTCCTGTCCTCCAGAGCACATTAGATGCAATGCTTCTCCAACATACTTTAAACGGACCAGTGGCTCATTATCAGCTCTCTGCATAGCTAAATGACCTGATACTGAGCATTCAAACTTTAATTCAGGGTTTTTAAAGCATCCAATCATTGAGGAGATTGAAGCTCTGCAGGACTGCTGTTTTCCACCTTTGGATAACCGATCATCAAAGGCAAAAAGCAGAAATACAAACTAGAGAGAGTTTCTGATGTATAATTGAACCTGAAAATTCCTCACATCCCTCCTGTTTCAACACAGATGCTGTAAAAGCAGCCTGTCAAACAGGACCGTAGAGAACCTCCTGCTCTTTCCAGGAAACTTTCAATACTTTCCTCATTGATTTCTGAAGACACGCATGGCTTTCTTTTTTTAGCTTCTACAGAAAATTTTACATGCATTTTATTTTGCCATCTCATTCATCTTTTTATCATTAACTAAAACCCTGGAAAACAAAACCTCGTTTGTAATCATGTTTTTAGAACCACTTTTTCCAGTATTTTCTCCTATAAATTACCCAAAGAAATCCCTTCTAAATTATTTAATCAAGGAGAATGAAAAGCTATCCATTACAACTTAATCTTGTGTTAAAAGCAGTCTCTTGCTAAACTGACTTAAATCATAAATTAATAATCACATTCTTTAAAAACTAAATCGAGTTTTACTAGCCACTCCTAGACCTGCAAACCCTGTAAAATCAAGAGTTTGCTAAACTAGAACCTGTTCACCAGCAGCTAAATGATCTCTAAAACTAACTCTGCATGCCCTGATCTATGAACTGGTCAGAGAGGAAGTTCATCTCTTTCTTTATAAAGCTGTTTCAAAGGCTTGGCGAGTGAAGGACACTACCAAAATTACTCCAAGAACATATCTAGGACTCATCCAGGAGGTCATTATAGAACTCAGAATAACATCTGAAGTCCTGTAAGCATCTAAGGTCATCTGCAGGCCTTTCATGCCTCAGGTCAATCTCTAACGAATAAAAGGCAGACTAAGCTTCCATGAATGATTTCCAAAGAAAAAAGGAGACTCAAAGGCCTGTCGCAACTTTGGTGACTCACTGAATGTGACTGAACCATGAGTACTGCTCTGTTCCAGAAAAACCTGAAGAACATCCAGCTATACGTTTGGGCCTTTAAGCTTAAGTACGTTGTTTTAACGCGGATGGTTAATGATGATCATGACGGCTGAAATAAGAGTCTTTAAAAACACGTAGTGGCAGTTAGTGGCTCAACCAGAGGCCTGTATCAAGAAGTTAGCACAACCTACCAGGATTACTTCCAGTCTGTCCAGTTAGACCAGTCCACAACAATGACAATCAGGATCAGCAGTACCCCAAGCTTGTCAGCACCTCGCTAACTCAACCCAGCTTGAAATGATAATGAATCTGTGAAAGTGCACATATAAAGGGACTGGTTTATGGAGAGATATTTGTGCTATCGGTTTGAGCGCGCAGGAACCTATCCGAGCGCGCAGTGAGACAACACGTGCAAAACCAGTCTGGCGTGCGCTCAACTCTGAAAAACCCTCTCAACACACTGTTCTCGCGCTCAGTTTCATCTCTGCGCGGGCTCGGATCCGTCTCTGCTCGCGCTCGACCTGCTCTCTCCGCGCTTAACACCAGCTGTGCGCTCGGCTGTTTATCCGCTCGCTCAACTCTCTGCGCTCGTGACTTTAGCAATGTATGTAGATGAATCATACCATCAGCCAATCATGCGCAGCTTCTTCTTGTCTCACTGCGCGCTCGGACTGGTTCCTGCTCGCTCAAACCGATGGCACAAATATCTCTCCATACGGGTTCAAAGTAGCAGACCGTTCAGCCATGAGCCAGACGGGAGAGCGCCGTATTTCTCCATGTGAAAAACAGAAACTCTTCTTATAGAAAATGAAGTAAGACACGGTGGCGGCTGAAAGATCGCTGACTGTAAATTACTCCGTTAAAAAAGTTGCACATCAGTGACATTTAACAGCCTGCATACCAATCACTATGATTCATATTGATCGCGTTCCCTTCTGGAGTGAACAGAATTTAGGAGCAGATAAAAATAAAACATAATTTCATCTGGTTAGTTGGACATTTTGATTCAATAAAGTCTAGGCTACAATAAAGCTTGAAGCTGATGCCACGATTGCATCATATTAACACAAGTAGTCTTCAGTCTGAGTGAAATCCTCCTGATTTCTGTGCTGTCAGACGTCAGCAGGACAAATGGTAAAAACCTGCTGTGCTTTTAAAATGGTAAAAGTCTTGAAATGCAGACATAAATGTACAGAAATACCTCAATGTCTTCTCTACTTAAACTTTGTAGCAAATCTGTTTCAGTCTCATGCAAACTCTGTTACATGATCAATGTTTGATTTCATTGTCATTGTGATCCAAAGAATATTTGCACAATTTACTCTCTAAATTTTTATTTTTGTAATTTAGCTCAATATAACAATTAAACAAAAAACAGGTGAATGCCGCGGTGCATGAGGACATTATACAGGAATAAACAAATATAGAAGAGTAACAGTTTGATATGTCTAAAAGGAGGAGAAGAAAAATGAATGAATTGAAAAGTGTTCAGTTTTTAAAATGCATATTTTTTTTTACTGTTATATGGTTTATCGGAAGTTTTAGGTTCTTTTTGCTCTGAATACAATCAGATCTTTAATGAAAAGATGAAACGGCACGTCATTGTTTCCAGAACAGCTGATGGGTGGAAGGTTTTCTAGGATCCATTCTGAAAGATTCAGAGTACGTTACCACGGTGATTAGCCTCGCTAAGAATGAGTCTGGCTTCGTAGTACCATAAAGTCAGGGTTGAAGTGTTCTGTCAGACCAGCATACCCACAATCGATACCAGTTTATCCCTTTAGTTTATCCCTTTAGTTTATCCCTTTAGTTTATTCCTTAAGTTTTGTATGAAAAATACCTTTTAAACTACGGTACCTCAAAGGGCATGTATGCCTTTATTCATGTACAAAAAAGCTATTTATTTACTTCCTTTTTTTTTTTTTTGGAGCATATGGCGAACCAACCTTAAATTGGGTTTTTGTACATGACTAAAGGGATACACGCCGGTCCAGGTAGTTTAAAGTGTATTTTTCCGTACAAAACTAAAGAGATAAATGCAAATCTGACGTCTTGACTTGATTATAGGTATGCTGGTCTGATGGGGTATGCTGATCTGACAAAACAGAGGCTTAAATTGTCTCGCTAACCCATTAATCCTGCTTCGTGGTTCAGGCCTCCATTATCTGTGTTTGGGGAAGTTTGTTTTCACAGGTTAGTTTGAAAAGCAATTTTCTCTGGATAAGTAGAAAAATCCTCTGAAAACAGAAGTTTGCATTTACACAGGTTCAATTTAGCTGATAGTAAAATCATTAATCTAAAACATTAAGATATGAAAAACAGCGAAGAAGGAAAGTTTTTTTTTGTTTTTTCACAGCACCGTAAGGCTCTCCTTTCCTTTTAATTGTGTTCAAACAGTAATTGATAAATCGGCGGGGGTTAATGTGTTTGTATCACTCTGTTAAAAATAATGTTTTTTATTTAACCTTGATCTCCTCAGAGTCTCTTGATGAATTGACGTCGATGGTGGAGCAGCTCTTTGGAGAAGTGGAAAACAAGAACGTTCCTGTCCCAGAATTCCCTGAACATCCGTTCCAGGAAGAGCACCTTAAAGTCTGTCAATTATTTGGTTTCTTTGCTATTATATACTTTCTTTTTTGTTTACAGATTGGCGTTTATTTCCAAAATCATGTCATTCACAGTTAAATTAAAATAGTCTTCTATCCTGTTTGGTGTTTTTGTTGCAGCAATTCTACAAAGTCGTCCCCATCAAAGACATTAGGAACCTTTACGTGACCTTTCCCATCCCAGACCTACAGAAGTACTACAAGTCTAACCCAGGACATTATCTGGGACATCTGATTGGCCACGAAGGACCTGGCAGTTTATTATCTGAGCTGAAATCAAAAGGTTCTTATGGAAACAAATGTTCTACACTTCTTTATCCGAAGCCCCAAGTTTATTTTCAGTTAAAAGTTGAGTTTAAAGCAATAAATGATCAATTTCAATGGAAAGATTAATTAGCTTTTATACTAAAGGATGAAATTTGACAATAAGAAAGTTGATTTGGTAATGAAAAATGTACAGTTTTATTTTTTTCCTCCTGTATTAAACGGGTCTAGGTGAGACATTACGCTTTCTTTTTTGATGAAAAGACTCGTTCATTGATCAATAGATTTAGCTCATCGCCTATCCCGTTTTATTCTCTTCTGTTTTCTCTCCCCATAAACCTTTTTTTTAATTTTCTGTAATGGCTGAATTTCCATTACGGCTCATTTACATATTTGAATGTTTTCACCTGCAGAAAATAACTTTTTGACCAGAAACCACCTATTATACTGTTTCTAAGTAAAACCTCTTTGTACCATCAAGACTTTTCCCTTTTCAGCATTTACACCACATTGGTACTGAATAACGACCAAATACTCAATGTTAAAGTAGTCTCTATTTTCACATTTTTTGATAACTCTAGAACAGCAAAGTCAAAATAAATGCACATTTGGGTTCGTATGATTTAACTCATTTGTGTGACTACCTATAATACTGGTTTTAATGTAAGTTAAATGTATATTTAATTTTTGAATTACTCACCTCTAAGATATTTGAAGAGGAATCCAAAGCTGAAGCTTCGCTGTGATCCATCTTTGGTCCATAAATAAAAGATAAAAGGCGATAAAACCTCCGAGTGTAACCTGATAGTTTTATGGTTGGAGCCTCCAGTTATCCTAACATGAAACTGAAGGTGGTGTGGTCAGGATTTACGTGAGAAGAGACGCGTAGCCACATATTACACATATAAGGTGAGCACACAGACACTGAAGCATGCTTTAAGGGAAAATACAGAAGTTTTTTTTTTTTTTTTTCTTGGTGAAATATCAGAAATTCTTCCATAAAGCCCAGGTTTAAGCTTTTGTTTACATCCATATATAGTAGCAATAAATGACATCAAGATGAATAACACTCCCTTTACTTTCTACTCTGTTAGAAAATGGAATTGTTTAAGTGAAAGTTCTCTAAAATGAGAGCTCAGGTCATTCATTTCATGCCAAAAATGGACTAAAATTGATTTGTTTGATTTCACTTAAGGTTGGGTGAATACCCTAGTTGGAGGGCAAAAGGAAGGAGCCAAAGGGTTCATGTTCTTCATTATCAACGTGGATCTGACTGAGGAGGGTCTCTGTGAGTATAATTTACGCAACTATCCGGCAGCAGGATGGATGTTCTGCATGTAATGTCATCTTTCACAACTAGAAATTATCCTTTGGTTGGCTGCAAGCAGCGCAAAATCAAATCAGGTTGATATGAATTTGTATCAAGCCTTTGCAATGTTGTTTAGGTGACATGTAGCTCAGGCTCAGTGAGGATCCAGTGAGAACTGGATCACTTCATTATTACTATGATTTAAAACCTGATTTCTCAGCATTTATTGATGTGAAAACATTCCATCATTCCCAGCAGTCATTTTAGTTTTTTACTAAATTCAACCAATGCCTAATGAAGCCATGTCGGATGTTTTGCCTCTAAAAATCTGCATAAGAAGTATTACGCAGAGAAGTGACCTACATGCATTACCTGTGTCCATGTCTGAGGGGATGACTACATCATGTCTAAAAGGAAAATGATTGCATATTCATTAATGTGTGATTTTGTATTTTTTCTCACTGCAGTGCACGTTGAAGACATCATTTTCCACATGTTCCAGTACATCCAGAAACTTCGCACTGAGGGACCTCAGGAATGGGTGTTTGAAGAATGCAAGGTTATTCCTGATTCAATTCAATTTATTTCTATAGCGCCAAATTCACAA